CCCAAAACAAAAACAAAACAAAAACAAAAGCAACAAAACAGACAAACAAAACGCAACTAAAAATAATTGCTGGGACTGGGATTTACCTCGGGGGATTGATATGATGATTTACCCCATGGGGCAGATGGATTTACCTCGGGGGGAAGATTTACCCCATGCAGCAGATTTACCCTGGTTGTTGTGGAATGCCGATGCTTTCCTGGAAAACCCTGATTAAAAAAAATAAAAAAATAAAAAAAATTAAAGGAAACGGGAAAAACACAAGGCTAAAAATAGCTGCAGGGGCCGAGATTTACCTCGGGGGGGAACAGCTGGAACGAGAAAAATGCTCCTGGCCGAGTAAGCCCGACTTTACTTTTACCAAGCCAGCTACACTGCAGGGATGCAGGAAAGAGGTTGAGGAAGGCAAAAACTAATACCGGAGGGAGGAGTGGTGAAGGTCGAGCGCGGCCCCGCTGCGGTGCCGGTGGCCCCTGGGCCGGCTCGTTCGCCTCTTGGCAAGCTCCGGAGTCTGATGCAATCGCTGCGCTGACGGAGGCGGCGGTTCCCACCTGTATTTGCCATTGTGTGCCCGGAGCTGTTTGCAGGTGTTTGCTGGCGCCGCGCTGTCTGAGCCGCACTTCCCTCCTCCTCCTTCTCCTCCTCCTCCCGCTCTAGCCCCGGCCAAGGCCTGGCCCCCTTCGGCTCCCCCGCCCGGCTCCCCGCCAGCCGCCGCTGACACAGATGCTGCGCGTACACGCGTGACCTTGGCCAGGCGCGCTCACGCATGGGGGTGGTTTCTGGCTGCTGAGTGTGGGTGCGCACACACACATGTACTTACATACATGGCTGCACTAACACGTGTGGTATGTGCATATTCACGTGTGTGTGCATGTATGCACTCATGACTGTCTGCCTTTGCACACACCTGTGTGCACTTACACACGTGTTTACAAACACTGACACACGTGTCTGTGCATGCTCACAAGGGCAGATATGCATGCATGACTGTGTGCAGTTACACACACCTATATGCACTCACACACGTGGGGCACCTGACACCTGTCCAGGCACACTCACACGCGTGGATGCATTTGCATCCATGTCCATGTGTTCTGACAATATGCCTGCAGGCACTGACGCACGTCTGTGCACACTTAAAATATATGCACACTTATATATGTGGCTCATGTGTGCACACATGCCTGTGTGCACTTACACACACACACCTACGTGCGCTTCTACATGTGCCTACCCTGCCGTGGCTGTGCACACACACGTGTGCATGTATGCACAGGAGGGCTCGTCCTGCAAACCAACCTTGTGTAGGGGCTCAGTACCCCCCTTGGCTGGAACTCCCAGAGATGCTGTGGAATTGGAGGAGGATATTCCTGCTCTCCCCGTACCCCCGTGGAGACCATCCTCTGTACTGGCAGCCAACTCGCATGTTCCTGCCAGCCCTCGTCTTCCCTCTCCCACAGGTGACATCGAAGCTTGGTCCCACGGTGGGACAGAGACTTCACACACATTCCAAAATCTGCCGGGGACAACGTGAGGTGCAGCCGGAGCGGTGCCGACGCCGCAGCCGCGACTCGCTGCTGCCGTCTCCAGGGCAGAGGAAGAAGAGCCCGGCTCACCGGGAAGGTTCTCCCTTGGAGAAGAGCTGGGTTTTGAGATTTCCTCTGGTGTACCCTTGGAAACGACCAGGACTTCCCCCGATGCCTGTCCCTGGGAAGAATTAGGATATCCTCTAGTGTTCCACTTGGACCGGGACCTTCTCTGGTGCCTTCTCTGGGCCTTCCAGAAAGGACTGGGACCTCGTGTTGCCCCCATTCCAGGCACAGGGGTGTGTGGCATTGGGCTCTGAGGGCTGCTAGCCACTTGTGTTTGCCTAATAGCCCATCACATGCTCCTGGGACAGTTGTTTCCCCCACCCTGGACAGAGCCATAGGGCACCAGCACCCCTTGTACCCTCTCTCTCCTGGGAATGTTCCTTGGGGAGGAACATTAGGGGATGGGGTCTCCTTTGAGATTCACAGCCCAGCTTCAGCCCTTTGCTTCTGGGTTATAGTTAACCTCCTCCATGTGCTCTGCATCCCGATGAGGTCCCTCATCTCCAAGCTGAATATCCAAAAGATTTTCCAGATTCTGAGGTAAGCGAAGGTGCGGGGGCTGAACCCATAAGCCTCTGATGGTGCTGTCTTGGTCTGGGCAGAGATGTGGTCACCCAGATGTGGTGTACATTTCATGTGCTGAATCTGCACTGGGAAAAGCAACATCATTGCTTGTTCTTTGCCATCAGCTCCCTGCTCTTGGGGTGCAGTTCAGTCCCTGCTGAGATTCCCAGGGGAGAAAGTAGGAGGGGTCTCCTGGCTCCTAACCCCCACCATGGCTAGCACAGTGATGGGATCTCTTGCCTTGCCCCAGGGTGAGGAAGCTGATCAAGCAGCTAGCTGGGATGCTTCAGGCCACCCACAAGGTCATCTCAGACTTCTGCAATATAATGGAATGAGATGGTATCTAAGGTCCTTTCCAATCCAAACTCCTCTGGCTTGCAGAGTGGAAGCTGGTGCATGGGCCACCCTTCTGGACACCTTGGTGTCACAGGAACATACAGATCTGTGTCTTTTGGTATGGAAGAGGACTTTGTCGGTGGAAAGCCATGGCTGGAAAGGCTGGAAAAGGCTTACTGAACAAATATTAGGTAGTGAGAAAGATGCCCTTGACTCCTCCTTCAGCTGTCCCTCAGCACACCTGAGGGGGTGAGGGTCAACAAGTTCTCCCATCTTCTGGGTCAGCTCTTACCCCAGTGAGGTCACACTAACAACATGTGGGGATGTCACCTCTGCTTTGTCCAAACTGGAGGAGTTGAGGACACAAGCTGCCAGGCCCTGCCCATACCCCATGTCCTTATCCCAAGGGTCACCCGCTAGAGCAAACCCAAGGCAGGCAATTGACACAAATTTATCCACCCTGCCGGGCATGGCCTTGTCTTTGTGCACTGGGATGGAGACAGCAGTTGCCTTCTTCCCACACAGGGGAAAAAGAAGGTCTGGGTGGATTGATTTGCCAAGCTCAGCCATGCTCCTGACACAGGGGCTGCACTGCCCAGCTGGGGTGGCATTGCTGCTGCCAGGCCTTTTGTTCTGACCCAAAGTCTCGCACAGTGGGAGGTAAATGTCTATCCTGGACCCGAGGCTCCTGGCACGTTTCTGGGTGTCCCTCCCAGCTGAGTTGGAGTCTGGAAGTCTGGTGTCCTTCCTTGTCCACAGCAGAGGCCATGCCCAGCATGTGTATCCATCTGTCTGTATTCCAGGAGACTTCTTTTCATTATCTGAGATTATCCTTATCCCAGACCTGGGCATGGAGTTGGCTCTTCCTGGAGAGTAGAATGATGGAGAGAAGAACAATGGGGAAAAGTGAATAGATGGAGGCAACCAGGTGATGGAGAAGAATCAGGGAATGGAGAGGAACCAGGGGATAGAGACAATCAAGGTGATGGAGAGGAACTAAGGGACAAAGAGGAACCAACTCCTGTGGCTTGGTGGCCTCAGCAGGATTAAACCCTGGTTTGTCTCAGTGGCTGTGGTGGCCTTTTACTGATGCCAGTAAGGGTGAGAGTTGCCCTCACTCAGCGCTTTGTCATTGCCTCGGTGATTCCTGTTACTGCTGCACTCTGAAATACCCTATAGACCAGCTTGAGTACCCTTCATGCCCCTTTTTCTCCCTCTACTTTGCCAGAAAGATGTGGTGCACTCCAAGTGAACCAGGGGTCAAATCTCCTCATGCCAACCCCTTAGATCCCTGACCTCCTGCAACAGCACTGTCCTATGTCTGCAGGGTAAGGAGGTGCCAGACAGCCTCTAGCTGGTGGAGGCAAAAATTTTTGTTTTAAATAGATGCGGCTCCCTCTCCTTTACCCTGGGTTGCTTTAACTGGGGATAGGAATGCAGGATCGATGGGAAGGGTAGGATGAGGATGGGAAGATGAGGACTGGGGCTTGATAGAGATGAGAGGACGATGAGGAATGTGGAATGAGGGGGCTGGAGGGTCGCAGCCCCGGGCTGGACGCCACCAGATTGATGGGGAGCGGTATCTTCTAAAAAATAAATAAGTAACAGAAAATGTATCCTAGTCCCAATCCCGAACCCAAATGCCCTCCAGCCCCAAAACAGGCGCCTCTACCCCCAGCAGGTGGTGTCAGGAAGGTCCCCCCCTTATTTGCAAAAATGACCCCGCCTGCCGCGCGGCCGCTTTAAGGCCTCTCCCGGCGCGGCAGCTCCGGCCGCAGCGAGGGGGCGGGGCCGCGGCGGCGACAGCCAATCAGCACGCGGCATTTTCCGCGGGAAATCTGAATTTCGCGGCACGGATTTTGGCGCTTAAAAAAAAAAAAACGGAAAAAAAAAAAAAAAAAAAAAAAAAAAAAAAAGAAAAGGAGCGCTCGGGGCCGGGCGCGATCGGGCGGGAGCGGAGCCGGGCGCGGGGGTCCCGGCCCAGGCGGGGCCGCGCTCCAGCCGCCCCGGCCCCATACGGCCCCAGTGCGGCTGATTTTTGGGGCCAAAGGCGAATTTTCGGCCGGTTTTGGTGGCATCACAGCCGCGTTCTTCTCTGCAGGTTTTTCGGGGGGAATCTGAGGACCGGCCAGTGGCATCTCCCGCCGGAACGGCTCTCCTCTTCCCCAAAATGCCACGGCTGAGATTGTGACCCTCTCCCGGCTACGGAATAGTGGGGTGCTCTTGCCCCCTTCCCCGGGCCGGGCTTTTCGGAAAGGACTTTGCAATGCTGCGGCTCCCCAGAGGAGTGTCCCCCGCCCCGGAGAGGGGGGGTACCGCCCTCCTGCCCCCCCCTCCCCACCACCACCCGAAGAAGGTCATGTCAGTGATGGGCTCCTGTGATCCGGGGGCTTCCAGCCTGGGCAGCCCCCCGTTATCCACAGGCTGTTTCACCCAGGTCTACACACCAGCGGCTATCAGCGGGCCCCCTTCCCGGAGCGAGTGTCTCTGTGACACCCCCCAAGGCCCCGAGCTCAGGACCCTCTGTTCAGCCTCGGCGGGACGGCTGCCGGTAAGATGTCTGCATCCAGTCTCTTCCTCGGGCATCGTTTCGGGGGCACGGGAGGCTGGGGATGGTGCTGGGTGGGGAGCAGGGGGTGGGTGACCCCAGCATGTACAGCCCCCTCCCTTCCAAATTTTGCAGCTTATATTGGAGTCTGCACCCTCTAATGCGTCTTTCTGGGAGTGGGGGAGGGTGAGGTCTGAAATCAGAAGTCGCAGTGAAATGGTTCAGATGTTTCTCAACTTCCCCTCACCCCTGCGTGCCCGTGGCTCTGGCTTCCGCTTCTTGGCCTTTTTCGGCCTCTTTTTCTCTCTCCAGCTTTGCAAAAAGTCCAGGTTGAGCCTCAATACCCGGTCAGCAATCCCAGGCCCTTTGAGAAGCCCTTTATATGGTGGGGCAATGAGGAATGGGTACATTCACTACCCTGCCTGCTCTGGGTAGGGAGCACCAAGTCCTGCCGACTGGCTCTCTCCACTTTGGAGCTGTGACCCCCGGGGTGACCCATCACCCGAGGACTTGGGGGGACACGGGTGCTATGGCATCACTTTCCAAGCCTGGTTTCTGCCCGTGGTTACAACGGGGCTAACAATGACTGTTTTTTTTGAGGGGGGGTGTTTCATCCTCCATGGATCACTCCAAGGCTTTTTAGCTCAGACCCTGATGCTGGGAGTTTTGTAGGGGTTTTGCTGTCCCATATCCCTGCTGCCAAGCTGTGGGGTCACGACTGTGTTTACAAAGCCCAACACTAAGCTACAAAGCTACCCCTAAACAAGGAAAGTGAGGCACAAGTCGGATGCTGGCCCCGTGCCCATTGTCAGGGTGCACAGGAGGCTCTGCCCAGCCCGTCTCTGCTCCCGGAGGGCCCCCTCCGAGACCCCGGCCTGTCGGCCCCGCTGGCAGCTGGCATTTAATTCCTGCCTGCTCCAGCCTGGGCACACATCCAGCCCTCACTGTGAGCCTCTGTTCTCCTCGGTCCTGGGAGGAATCCCAGATCCTGCTAACACCAATTGAGTTTTCCCAAAGCTTGATTTATTTATTTATTCCCCCCCCCCACCACCACCCTTTTCCCAATCCCTGATGCTTGGTGCCAGCTGGGGACATTGCCGCGGCGAGGGGAGAGGGAGTGTCTTTGCTTCCCCCTTTGTGCCATGGCTGGGGGGCTGGATGCGGCCTTTTTGAGTCCCCATCCTGGGGGACTTCGGGACCACCTGTCTCCTCTCCGGCTTCTTTGTCTCCTAACCGCGTGAGACATCCTGCACTGCCGGGGGTTAGGGTTGTTTAAGAAGACACCATCATTGCTGCCCCCTCCCTAAAAACACCCCACAGACTCCCAGTACCGTTTCTGTGGATGTGCAGAGCTCCTTTTGGACTAATGGTCCCTTTGTCATCGTCATCATACCCACTCCAGGGCTCAGGGTACTCCTTCCTGCCGCTGTCCCCTAAATTTGGCCAGCAAGGGGGGTGAGGGGGGCGAGCTTGTGTGATTCTTGGGGACATGAAGTGCTGTTCCTTGACACCTGGGATCAAGAGATTTGGGCTAACGGCCTCTTTGTCATCACCACCACCATCATCATCATCACCCACATAAGCAGATGTTCCGGGTGCTGCTGCGCACAGCTGTCCCTTCAACAGGGTCTGGGAAGCTCATGTAACAACTGGGGACATGGTGTACTCCTCTGTCCCCCTTAGTGGCTTGCGAGAGGCGTTGCCCCCAGTCCCCATCTCATTTCCCGCTGCCATTATCCCATTCGCTGTGCTGAAGATACTATTTCCAGCCCCGGTATGGCACTCACAGTCCTGACAGCTGGGGTTCCTGCCGCACACACCCTGTTTATGGCACAACCTTTGTGTGCAGAGCCGAGGCAATCAGATACAACCGTTTCCTCCCAATTCCCAAGCAGGGCAATTGCAGCCGCTCCCACCGGCTTTGTGCCACATGAGTGATCTGGGATCACATGGAGGAGCCTATCACCCCGCGGGAAAGCAGGATAGGTTGTCTCTCATCGTCCGAAAAAGCCCTAAATTTACCATACTCTCCGATTTGAGGGTTCTGGAGCAATTGAATGTGTTTTCCTCTAGGGTAAATGTGTATTTTGGAGCGGCTTTAGCCCACGCCAATCCCGTCGTCAGTGTTTGCCCATCTCTGGTCTCTATAGGGGCTCTGGAGTCACTATAAGGCGCTTAGGGCTATGCAAGAGCACTGGAGAGAGGGGTGTTTCTGACGTAGAATCCCAGCTCCCCAGCCTGAGCAAGGCCGTCCAGAGTCCACTGTGGTTCTGTAGGAGCTGGCAGGGCTGAGCCCTCCCTGCACAGAGCACCCAAGAGTGGCAGCCCCTGTGCGTGCTGGGTTGTGGGAGAACCTGCTCAGGAGCACCCCAGATTCTACAGGGGTGACATAATCCCAACCTGATCAAAGGGTTTTCTGCATGAGCAAAAGAGGGTATTTTGAGGGGAGGGATGGGTGAGGAAGTGGTGATTTTGCTGCTGCCCTTGGAGGGGCGTTTTTAGCTATGGCTTTTAAAGCCACCAGCTCCTCTCTACCGGGGAACATCTCCCGGGATGGGGCTATTGGAGGGGATGCAGGTGTTGGCTGCACCCCAGAGTAGGGAGCAGTACCTGAGGTGAGGATACTGCCTTCCTCCCCAGTGCAGGGTGATCTCACTGTCCCTCAAATCTGGGACCAGCCTCCATTCCGCTGTCTGCATCTTGTGCCCTACTAGCCCTCAGCCACCCCAAGGCAGTGGGGACAGCACCTCTGGGGGTCTGACCCAGCAGCCCCTTGGCAAAAGCAAGCAGTAGGATCCTGAGGTGCCCCTTGCCTCCCTGCCAGCTCCGAGTGCCCAACCCCAGGCACTGCGTTCCCACGCCCCCGTGGGGGCGGTGGGGCTGATAAAAGGGGGAACTGGGAGGAGCTCCATAAAGGGCCGGGCAGAGCCCGGGCAAGCCCGGAGAAGGCAGCGGATGCTGTTGAAAGGGAAGGTTGGCAGGAGGAGCCCCCTGCGGGGGGGCTGAGGGATGCTCTGATGCTTGGGCTGGGTGCAGGGTGTAGCTTCTAGCGCCAGGGCTGGGCTCAGGGCTGCTTGGCAGGCAGAGTAGGGGTAGGGGGCCCAGCCTGCCCCCTCACTGCCTTACATACCCCCGAAATTTTAGGGTCAAGCCTGATTTCCCACTCCCACCATCATTTTGGGGTGCACATGGTGTGTTCTCACATCCTGGGGAAGTTATGGCTGGGGGCTGGCAAGTGGCATGGGGTGGTCCTGCCATGTCTTGGGGAGGTCTTTGGGTTTGGTCCCTGCTCCCCTACCTACTCTGGTTCATCTCACCCCTCCTCTTAGTGCTGGTGGGGTGCTGGGAGCCCTTCACTGTGCCCCACTCAGCTGTTGTGTGCCTAATCCTGCCCAGCTTGGGGGATGGCAGCTGTGTCACAGGAGGGAGCCCCTTGTCCATTGTCCCTTGCTGGTGGGGTCCTGCTGCTATCTGAACCCACCAAGCCCCCACCCCCAAAACTGCACCTGGGGAAGCAAGGCTCCTCCTTTATCCCCTCCTGCACATGCGGAGGGGAGATTCGGGGGATTTGGAGATGTCTGGAAACACCAGGACCTGCTGTGGGTTGCTCCGTGCCTCAGTTTCCCCATTGCCTGGCGGAGGTGGGGTGCAGCTGACCTCCCCAACAGTGATGGGAACACACGTTGGCCATGGCCATGCATGCCGGAGAAGCAAGGGATACCGAGAGGGAGGGGGGAACAGGGTGATGTCCGCCCTCCCGTACTGGCAGATGGATGGGGTCTTATCTGAGGCAGGTGTTTCCCATGCATTCGGCATTAACCGTTGTAGTGCCGGCAGCTCCGGGGCAGATCCAGGGGCACGAGGCTGGGGTTGGAGGCAAGTTCACTGGGAAAAACCTGATCGGGGAAGCGCGGGAGGGAACAGATTCCCACAGGAGCTTGCGACCAACCTGGTTCCCTGGAGGGGTGGAAAACAGCCCCTGGCGCCTCCCCGCCAGCCCCCTCTGGTGGGAATGAGGCCGAGGCGCCCAACCCTTCCCTGCAAAGTGCGTTGTGCTCCCAAAGGAGCAGCCGTCGGAGCCAGCACAGGGACCTGGGTGCCTTGCGGCATGTGCTGGGGAGGACCCTGTGGGACAGCCCGGCCTGGGAGCAGGTATTGGGGGAAGGTCGGGATGGGGCTGTGGAGGCTGCTTTCTACTGCTGAGCCGAAGTGTTTCCCCCCAAATCACCCTGTGCATATTTGTGAGTGTGGAGGAGTCCTGGGGGATTTGTTTGCGTTGGTGACATCCTCCAGTTCTCCTGTGAATTTACTCTGCTGCACTTTTCCCTGGGTCCCTTCTGCCCAAGCGCTGCTTGGGGTTCCTTAGGGGGGATTTCAAGGAGCTGATTGCCCTGGTGAGGGGACAGCAGGTGCAGGGATGTTTGTCTCCCCTCCCAGAACCCAGCCTACCCCCCTTTCCCCAGTTTCCCTCCAGCTGGGTACATGTGTCCAGAGCACTCAGGGGTCACGAGGGGGCTGAACCCAGCTGGTCCCAGGTGTGCTGGTGGCAGCTGGGTGCCCTCGGCTGCCTCAACCGTGACCCACTTGGGAGGAGGGAAGTGAAATCCTGCACCCCAGTGGGCCAGCTGGCAGGGAAGGAGGGTGAAGATCTGGCTTTGGAGCTGCTGCATTCCCAGGAGTCAGCCTGTGGAGCCCTGCCAAGAGCTGGGGGTGAGAGGAAATCCCATTGGGTTCCCTGTGACTTCCAGGGTGTGCAGGAAGCCATGGGGCATGATGGGACCCCTCATCTCCTCTCTGTCCAGTTCTCCCAGTGGCTTCTCATACTGCTGTGAGAAAGTTCTGCTGTGCTCCTTCCCAAAAGGAGTATTGCAACTGGATGAGCCTCTTGCAGGATTCCCCCACCCCAGGATGTGGGTGGCTGATCGCCCTAGGGGGCCTGGGGAACTCAGAGGGGTGTTTGGCTTGACAAAAATGCAGGGTTTTCTCTCGTGCTCCAGGCCAAGAGGAAGCTGGACCTGGAGGGCCCCGAATTTCGCACGCCCAAGGGGAAGGGCTGGACACTGGCACAGGTCCCCAGCCCCAGGAGTAAGTGATGTGGGCGGGGTGAGATGGGGCAGGGGAAGCTGGGAGGAGCAAACCCCACTTCTCTTCCCTCTTAGAACCATGTCCCCTCTAGCATTACCTCATGTCACCTCCAGCCCACATCCCACATTAAGGAGAGAATGGGTGGGGGGGGAAGGGGTCAGCCCAGTGATACATCCGTCCCATGGACCTGCCTAAGGAGAGGATTGGGAAAGTCTCTTGTCTCCAATCCTATGTTACCTCAGTCCCACATATACCACTAAAGAAAGGAAAACGTGGTCTCTCCTGTCTAGCCCCATGTCACCTCCATCCCACGTCCCAAACTAAGGAGAGGATGGGGGCATCTCTTGTTTCCCCAAAGCCCCCAAGTCTCCCGGGGAGAAGACTCGCTACGACACCTCACTGGGGCTGCTCACCAAAAAATTCATCCGTTTGCTGAACGAGTCTCCCGATGGTGTTGTGGATCTGAACCGGGCTGCTGAAGTGCTGGAGGTCCAGAAACGTCGCATCTACGACATCACCAACGTACTGGAGGGCATCCAGCTCATCCGCAAGAAATCCAAGAACCACATCCAGTGGATGTAAGGGATGCTGGGCATCTGAAAATGGGACAGGGTGGGGGACACATAACTTGAGGACACATAGGGTGTGCTGTGCCATCACTCAGATGCCATCTCCATTGGCAGGGGGACAGGGATCTTTGAGGATGCAGCAATGGTGACGAAGCAACAAGTGCTGCGTGGGGAACTGGCTGAACTGGCTAGGGCAGAGAGGATGCTGGACCAGTTCATGCAGGACTGTGCTCTGCAGATCCAGCAGCTGGCTGACAATGAGACCAACCAGAGATATCCTTGCTGAGGGAGATGGGAGGGAGGGCAGGGTCTTGGGAACCCCTCTGAGCCCCTTCTCCTCCAGTTGGATTCCCCTGGGCTTGGAGGGTGTTTGGAGGGATGCAAGGGTTGATGTCCTGCTTGCAGCCCCTCCTTTTCCTATACCTCATCCCTGTCCACGCTGGCATATGTCACCTACCAGGACCTCCGTGCCATCAGCAGCTTCCAGGAGCAGACAGTGATTGCCGTGAAGGCTCCTCCTGAGACACAGCTGGAGGTGCCAGACTTCAGCCAGGTGTGTGTGGGTGCTGCTGGATCCGTGCCACATTCAGTGGGACCCTCTGGAGAGTCCTAAGGACACAGCCCAGCATGACACTGGGTCGTTTTGGGGTGTCTCCATGGGGCTGTTTGACCCTGAGCTGGTCCTTCAAGAGTTGCAATGCCCCAGCTGGATCCATCATGGGTTGGGGGTAGTGGAGTGGGATATGGGTGACCTTCTGGGTATCCCCCTAAGCCTTACTCTGTCCTCCCAGGAGAACTTCCAGCTGCACCTGAAGAGCACCAATGGCCCCATCGAGGTGTACCTTTGCCCAGAGGAGATCACGGAGGAAAGCCCCACCAAGGACCACCCTGTCCCCTCTGCTGCCACCTCCCCACAGGACCACCCCGTATCCCTTTCCCTGCTGAACAGCTCCCCATCAGCCACACAGCCACCTCACTCCATCTCCCAGAGCTGGGGGGGCACAGGAACTGCTCTCTCACCCCCATCTCTGCCTCTCCCCATCCAGGGAGGACCCAGCTCGCTGCTGGAGATGGAACCTGGGCTCCTGGGCTCCCCTGCCCACCTTCTGCAGCAAACAGAGGACCAGCTGCCCTGCACCCCCTCCCATCTGGACTTGGAACCCTTTGTCACCTTCTCGCCCCCCCTGGAACAGGATGACTATCTCTGGGGGCTTGAGGGCGAGGGAGTCACAGACCTCTTTGAGACATATGACCTGGGGGACCTGCTGAAGCACTGAGTGTCCCCCTAGTCCCCATTGCCTTTATCTCCCCTGGCCACTTGCATCCTGAGCACATGCGATCTGTGTGGGCTGACTGGAGAGACTGGGATATGTTGGGGAGCGCTGGGTCTTCTGAGGATAGGGGGGAGAGTGGGACTTGTGTTACTCACCCAGTGTGGCTTCTCTGCACTCTCCTGGGTTGGTTATCACCTCACCGGGCACTGGGAGTGCTCTGAGATCCATCCAGGACCCATCTCAACATCCCCACATGAATCCATGGGGCACTGTGATTCCCACCATAACCCCCCACCACTCTGCAGATGCTGGTGGACTGGAAGTGCCTTTGGGTGTGCCAGGTGAGTTAGGGTGGCAGAAAAAGCTCTGCCCAGAATGGGCTGTGTCATGTTTTGGGGTCACTCCATCTGCTCCTCAGTTAAATTAGTGGTTCTTCATGGTCACAACAGGTCATTTCCAGTGGCATTTTCTCCACCACGGCTGGAATATCCTTAAAAAAACATTGAGGCAGCAAAACTGAAGTCACCTTTGGGTGAGGGAAGGATGAAGCTCACATGATTCTGGCAAATCTCAGGCCAAGACATGGAGCCATATTCCCTGAGGGGCTTCAGCCCTCTGCCCCAGTCTGTACCAGCTCCCTCTGGCCTCTCGGAGCTACTGGTGCTGGGAGTATCAAAACTGGAATATACTAGGAAGAGGTGTGCCTGAAGGAGGCGATGACCTGCAGAGAGGGGCTTGGGGTTCCCTGGGCCTTGGGGTAGGATAGGACTTTTAATTGTGCCATTCCTTGTGAAATATCTGTAATTATTGCACTGTATTTATCTGAGTCCCTCCTTTGGTGTGGGGCTGGGGGGGGTTGGATTTGTCAATAGGTGTATTTAAGTTGTCCTTTCTTGGTTGTTGGTGCTCCTGCAAGAGATGGTGTGGGTGAGAATATGTTTTGGTCTAGAAAAACTTTTGGCACTTGATGTTTTCTGCCTAGGAAGAGTTGAAATAAAATAAAATTTTGGAGTTATAAAGGGCTGTTTTCTTCTAAGAAGCAATATGCTGGAATGGTTTATGAAGAGGGAGGAGCTGAGCTGGTTTTCCTTCTGTTTTCAGAGTAAAATGGCCTGTTTTGGGGCTTTTTATCTGGCCAGCCTGCTCTGCAGGCACTTGTGGAGAAGAGGGTTGAGATGAAGCTTCGACTGGAGTGGGAGTGAGAATTGGTCTCACTCACATTGGTGATTTCCAGCCCAAATCTGGCTGGGATGAGCCTTTGCTTCAGCTAGAGTCCCTTCAACCAGGAGTGTGGGAAAAGCCCCACCAGGGTTGGGGGCCAGCTCCCTATTGATCTTGGGGCTGGATAGGCTTGTGCACCTCGATTTGGGGTCTGCAGAGCAAGATCCTGGGGGAGCTATGTCCATGTAAGGTCCCTTCTCCATGTGTTACTTGTCATGCTGTGACCTGGGGATGCCACCAGTGGTGGTGGCAAAGTGATGGCTGGTGTTACCAGGCGATGTCCTGTGACATATGGTGGTGGGAAGTGGTACCCAAGTGATACCTGGTGGTACCCAGTGATGGCTGGTGGTACCTGATGTTCATTGGTACCAAGTGATACCCGGACGTACTCAGTGACGTCTGAAGATAGCTGGTGATGTGGAGGAAGAGAAGGAGGAGGAGGAGAGCCCCGGGCCAGGTGAGCTGGGGGAGGGGCACAGAGTCCCCATCCCCCATAGGGATGAGTGTCCCACAGCAAGTAAGGAGATGTCCCTGGGCGATTTGCAGCCCCTCCGCGCCCCACTCCCGCGCAGTCCCCAGGCCAGCCAGGAGGTGGCAGGGCCACACCAGCCAAGGGACCGCAGGGACGCCTCGGGGCAGCGGGGGGGGGAAAGGAGGAGGATCAGGGGCTGCCTGTCTGCTGAGAGGCTCTCATCCCAAATCCCTCCTGCTACAGTCCTGCCTGGGCTGCAGCCTTTTAACCCTCTGTCTGCCAGAGCCCTGTATCCGAGGGAGATGTCCCGGGAGCTCGTCAGATGCTGGATCCTCCCAAACTGGAGGAGGACACCCCAAACCGTGGGCTCCCCTGCTTGCCGGTGCCAGAGGGGTGGAATCTTTCAAGCGTAGCCGTTCACCCAAGGCTTGCGATGGCTCTTCCTGTACCCCAGTCCCCCTCAGCACTCCAGTAACAGCGGGTTAGAGGAGGACTTGGGCTGGCCCTGGTTAGGCACAGACCTAAGTTTTACTGAGCCCGACTCCTGGCTCAGTAAAAGGGTCGAGGGTCTGTCACCCCCTGATCCACCATCCACCGTGGGTGAGGGGTGCAAGGGATATTGGGGGGGGTGTCCTGCAAAGCCCTCTTGCACTCTCCCATGGCAAACCAGCCCCAGTGAAGCTTCTTGCCCCTTTCTGTTCCAGTTTGTCACCAGCCCCAGCCCTGCAGTGGGATGTGCTCAGTGTCTGTTCAACCTCATTGCCTGCTCCTGAGGTGTCCAGGCTTCCAACCCATCCTCCGGGAAGAGCAAATAAACAGGAATGGGACACCAAATTCCATTGAGAGGTGGGACGAATGAGGGGAGAGGAGGGGAAACAAAGAGGTCGCCTCCAGTGGGACAAAAAGCCAAGGGCTCCAGTAATTATCCCCTGTCCAAGGATTGTCCCCTAGGGGTTCTAGGAAGGGCAGGGTGAGGGTGACCTCCAGTTAAAACGGTGTTTGAAGCGGACTGGCCGTCACTGTGTGTGTCTCCATCTTCTACCAAGATGGGGAGAGGTGAGTACTGAAGTGCTGGGTGGAGGTGGGCTCCGGGCGGAGGTGGGTGCTGGGGTCCCTGGGTGCTTGGGTTAGGTGGGTAACGGGTGCCTGGGAAAGGTGGATGTTGGCGTTAGAGGGGTGCTGGTGCCTGGGGAATGTAGGTACTGGGGTTAGGGAGATGCCGGGTGCCGAGGCAAGGCTGGGGGTGCGGATCCACCCAGACCCCAGTGTTTTCTCTTCGTCCCACCACAGCACGGAGGAGCCCCGCAGCCCCTACGTGGCGGAATGGGAGTCAAGGGAACGGCTCCTGGGGACGACCGCGGCTCTTCGCCTTTAACGCGCGGGCGGGCGGGGCCGCCGCGTGACGGCAGAGGGGCGGGAGCGGGCGGAGGGAGGGGCGCGGGGCTCCCGGTGCGGCGCGGGGCTCCCGGTGCGGGGCGCTGAGCCGGCACCCCGGGGCGCTCCGCAGGGGAGGCTCCCCCCTGCCGCCGCCCAGTGCCCCCGGTGCCCCTCGCATCATGCCCGAGCAGCTCAGCGTGGCCGACTTCTTGGCCGTGACCAGCGAGGACCTCAGTTCCCCGGCCGCCGCCTTCGCCTCCAAGATGCAGAAGTGCCGGGGGACCGTGGGGGCTCTGGAGGAGGTGAGCGGGGCCGAGGGGGGGTGGTCCGGGGCTCTGACTGCACAACCTACCTGGGAACATCCCCCGCATCCCGCCTGGGAACACCTCCGCACCAACAGGTGCGAGTCCCTTGATTCTTGCGCCTCCCTCGGGCTTCTGTTTTTTAGGGCCCACACTTTCACCCCGAGACTATACTGGTCATCCTAAACGCGTGGTTTGAGACCCTCGGGTGGAGGGGGGCCGTTTGCATCTTCCGAGCAGCCCTAGCGTACTTTTATGAGGGGCTAAGCCTATAGAAATGAGCAAAGGCTTCTTTGAAGCTCCAGGTGCTCCCCGGGGCCAGGACATACCCCCCACCACCCCGAAGCTAGGGCAGCCTATTTCCCTATTTCTAGGGCCAGGGCATCCCCTCCTGGGGATCAAGGCATCCTTCCCCGGGGCCTAGGCATCCTTTTTTCCCACGGGGACCAGCACACCACCTCTGTCCTGGGGCCCAGGACATGCCCCCAGAGAATCAGCCCCACATTTCTATCCACTGTCGAGTTCCTGTGCTGGAGCCAGCCCCGATGGGTTGTGATGTTGCTGGGAGGGTGTCCTCCTTGATCAAAACCGGGGGAGTATTTTCAGCCTCCCCTCAAAATCATCGGCAGCGTTTTTTTGGAAGGGTGGAGGTGGTGTGGTGCCTTCATCCTCCTTCTCCCGCCTGGAATAAAGGCAGCTTCCAGCTGGTCCTGTGGCTTATGCCAACTCCTCTTAGCTAAGGAATGACTTTGAAGGAGAGCCAGGGCTGGCAGGGAGTGAGGGGCCCCAGGGCTGCCGGGATACCTGGGGACAGGATGGGTGTCTCAGGCCTGGAAATCTGGGAACACACCGATGTAGCTCCCATCAGCACATGCTGGTCACTGCCATGGATCTTCTTCCCAGTGGGGAAGGGGGAGGCAGCTCCAGCCAGTAGAGAGCAGCAGGAATTTTGTTTGGCTCCTTGGAGAGGCTGCAGTAAGGGATGCAGGGATGGGGGGAGATGCGTCCCTCGGGAATGACATGGGGTCTCTGGGATTGGCTTAGTGAAGCTCCAGCAAGCATGAGAGAGAGCTGGGAATCACGACTGCTGCCGTATGTGCCATGGAGGGCACCGGGCTGAACCCCCCCATGACACTGGAAGCTCTAGGGAGGGGCCAAACCGCTGTCAGACCTTTGGCATCCCTCTGATCCCAGCACAAGGGGAGGAGGGAAATCCAAGCAAACCAGCTCCATGCTATCCTTGGAGCCCCAATAGGGTGATAGCATGAGGCAGGGGGAACAATCAGTGGTGGATTTGGGGATCACTGAGGGATAGGAGAGACAGTCTGTGGCCAAACCGAGCCATGGTCTTTCCTGTCACCACACCACATACTGGCTGGTAGCTTGGTGAACAGGAGGGAGGAAAGGATGCTGGTCTTACTCCAGCATCTGACTGCTGGGTGGGAAGGGATGGCTATATCCCACCAGGACCGCGGAACAGAGCATGGCCACATGCACCCAAGATAGAAGCAGGTCTCAAATCAGAGGCAGAAGCGAACAGGGAGAGGACTGGAGATTGCTACTCAACATTGAGGAGACATCCTGATGTTGGCCGGAGCTACTTTGTGCCTCAGTTTACCTCCTGAGATTAA